CGTCAGTACGATGGCCTCCTCTCGTAGCCGTGAACGATAGTATGGATCGTTGTAGATCGAATCAACCAGAAAACACTCCGTTATCAGCTTTGCACGATCGACAGAATTGTTTACACCGATTTATTATCTCGACAATTCAAAGATCGACGATCCTTCGGTGAAAATTTAACGATCCTCTAATATTGCTGCTGAGCGTATATACATGCTTTATTAATATTTATTCTAATCATATTATACAGTATAAAATATGAAAAGTATACTTTACGAAATCTTTCTTCGCATCCACTGTAACTAATCGGTAGTACCTACTGGTGTTAACCCTTTAACGTCCAGTGTGACGGAATTGGGACCATTTTTGAGTGAACTAATTACAAGAAATAATTTTTTTCCCTGAAAGAGGTGTTTGGGCTTTAAAGGATTAAAATTAAATAAAAAAAAATTTCTTTAAATATAAGGTGGTTTAATATCGCTATTTTCGACTTGAAAATGGCAAGATACAACATATACAGGTAGACACATGGAAATATCATGAAACCAAAGAATTTCATAAGAAAGTATTTTAGACCAAAGTTGTTTGGCCTTGAGGAGGAAAGAGAATGACATTTATTTTTTGTCTGGTGAATGTTTTGAAGGTCATTTAAAGGTCAACTCCGTTTTTTTTAAATGGATACCTGTATTTTCTTTAACAGATCATTAATCCACACAAACAGATAAACAATTTTTATCTGAAACGTTTTTTTTTTATATTAATTTTTGTTTTAACTTTTTTATCAATTTGAAAAAACGAAGTTCGAGAAATCGCTGCTATCCTGTTTCTTTTCTCTTTTTCCACGCTAATCCATGTCCAAATTTAGTTACAGGCGACGATAAAAAGATCTTGAAACCCGTTCGCCCATTATTCCGTTGCGACACGCGAGGTGCAAAGATCCGGTGAGTCCGTGATCGCGACGATACCGATTATCGCTACCAATTACCGTACGTGTTCCACGACAGTCTGTGGGATTAACAATACCGGTGGTGGGGTGGCGTCCTAAAAATAGCAGGCCTCTTGAAACATCGCGAATCTAGCCGATCCATCAAAATTTGACGAGCTCGCGCGAGCGTTCGATTTATCATTTGCCCCGGCGTTGTGCAAAGGCCCCAATACCGTTTGCCTGCCTTGGTTAGATAACGATTCTTTTATGGAAAGAATTCATTTCACGGCTTTGTTCTTTTCGGACGATCCGATGCAATCAATGTTAGGGGAACCACAGGACCATTTTCATTATTCCGTATTTCCGGCGTATTCATCGATACCGCAAAAGTCTTAGTCATCGAACGACCGATAATCTCGACCGATCGTCGCGATAAAGAATAAAAAAAACTCCGTTTCTTCAATTTTTTCGCACCGTCACTCGCCTGTTCGCCGATTCTATTATTATTCTCGTTTAGATAACAACGCGTTATCTACACACACGAACAGGAACCGATCGATCCGTGAAAGTCGATGGCTCGACCGCGATCCTCGAGTATCACCGTGGATCACGTAAGGTGGATGCACCGGTAAATGAACGGGGTACCAATGAATGAACATTATAGCGCATAAAAACGAGTAAATTAAGTAGGTATTAATATGGAAATAAGCAAAGGATATGGAAGTAAGCATGGGCGTGGCAGTGCAGGCAAGTGCCCCCTCCCCCCTCTCCGGACACAAAAAACTGGCTTTTGCACTAACCTAGAAGACAAAAAATTGACGAAGAAAAAAAACTACTTCTTTCGGATATTTTGAAGACAAATCTTTTGAATGTAATAATTTGGCCACCCTCTGTATTTTAACATAAAAGTCAACTTCAACAATTACAAAATCTCTTTAATATTCAGTTATCCCGCGACAAGAATCGTTTCGAACCAGGATCATCACGGATGATCCCCGTGATCTGTCGGCGAATCAGCAACGGCTAAAGAGATCGGCTCAGCGCGCGCGTCTGTTCGGGAATTACAACGGCTAACGAAGAATCAACGTGTCAACGGAGGGATTACCTTGCTGACGGTGATCGGTCGCGCGCAAAATTATTTTTGGCATAAAGACGGTGTAAGTATGTAGGTACGTATGTCGTTTAGTTACGCAATATTGATCGATTCCGACCGCCTAATTTCGAGAGATCTTCTATCTGGATTTATTATTAGTCCCAGCCGCGATAGAAAACGATACGATCGCAATGATCCCTCCCCCCCCCCTCCTCAATTCTGTGATTCGATAAAATTTGTTTTTCTTTTCTTTTTTGCAGGTTCCGATCTGTTAATCCAACTGGAACTGCGGTAGTGAAGGTTCAAACGTTTTTGCTATCGGAACTCGTATTATTAACCATCGTTCTCAGCAAATTTCAATGGAGCCAGTGTCAGCTTGGAATCCAAGATGGCGGCTGCACACTTCGAGTAACGGTCCGATTAAAAGGAACCAAGAAAATTGTTGTACTTAACGAGTATCAGATACAAATGTTGCATGTTCGTATCACTTGCGAATGTACACGGTGCAATCGATTATTAAGCATAATAATACGCAGCCGGCCAGGAACGACGTAACAGAGGCTCGTTATATGTAAATAGTAATTATGCAAAGGGGCGTGTGTCGTGCGCATAATCAGCGATATAACGCGCAATAAAGTACATATTTCGATTGGTGGTCGACAGAAGGAATCGAGCCCCTATCACAAACAGGAAGACTCGTAATCTTTCGTTATTATTCATTTCTGTGCAAGTGTGCTCGTTATCATTGATCTTAACGCGGCATGTTATCATTGGGAACTGGACAAATCGTTTTTTTTTTGGTTTCCATGCATTCGATGAAAATCAACGTAATTTGCGAAACCTACCCAGATAGCACATAACGCCTTGAAGACGGCTTAAAGGCGCCTTAGACCTAAAATAGCCGTAAACCACTGCGTTAAGTTACTGTAAGTTAAACTTAAATCATAATTCGATATTCATTGTTATATTCATCTTTATCATCACATCGTTTATTATTAATTTTAGTCTATCTATTAATAGACTTAAATTGTGACCATCCATTGTGCATACCAAGTTATTATTAATTCATTTTGCTCGTTGATTTCTCTACACAGACTTGGGGTACGGGCAGTGGATCTGTACCTATGGTACGGGCAGTGGGCCTGTGCACTAAGACTGGGCCTGGGCAATCAGTATTATCATCGGTAAAATACTGTAAACTGATGACAATATCGAGCTAATGGCTGCGAACATCGAATCTATCTCATAAAACCACATTCTATACTACATCGAACTAGGATTATTTTAGAAATCGATATGAGATTCAAAGTGTAACAATGTCTAATACTTTGAATGTTTTAGAAAATTATTCGAGATAAAGATGTATGGAACTACTGAAAATTACTTTAGATTCCTTTTCCTTATTCTGTAAATTCTTTGATTGGAATATGAATGTTGCTGGAAGTATGAACAGTTTCACAGGACAATGATATAAATGGAACTTTAAAACTTTTTTAAATGTTACAGTGATATTTCGTTATATGTTCCATAATGTCAATAATATTGATTTCCTTGCAACATCCACAATTATTACAAATGTCAATATAACGAAATATCTTTTATGCGATGTTTGTGGTGTAATAAAAATCTGTGTTTCGATTACGTTTTTGATACGTATTACTCACTTGTATGTAATAGTATAGAATAAAAATATACTATTAGTCCGATATATTCTTCTTTCATGTAGATTATACCTTTTATCGAATGCAAGTAATGGTGAACGGTGACGAGATCATTATTTAAAAGAGGGAACAAAATTTATAGTGAGTAGTGTATACGTATTGTATGATTTGTACGGTGTTATGTATATCGTTTACCGGAAAATAGTTGGCGCCGAATGTTAACGTATCTTAACGATTTATATCTCAAAAAATTGCTCCCAATTTGCTCCGTCCGAATCTGAAATTGCTCCTCCAGCACCTTTAATAGTTAATGATATTCGCAAAAGAAAAAGTAACAATTTGTTGTTAACAAAATAGGTAGTAAATGACCTGTTTACACAAATATTATGGTACCAAAAAATTGCTCCTGATCTGTTTTATAATAATCAATAGTCAGATATCTCAATAATTTTGCTCGTGAGGGTACATCTCACATACACGGGGTCCCTGACGCCTACACAGGGGGTTCTATGACCCCTCGATCTCACCATACGGGGTCTCTGGCGCCTCCACCGGGGGTTTTATGACCCCACACTCTCGCCACACGGAGTCTCTGGCGCCACCTGTGGGGATTCTGTGACCCCACGATCTCACCACACGGGGTCTCTGGCGCCTCCACCGGGGGCTCTATGACCCCACTCTCTCACCACACGTGGGTCTCAGGCTCCTCCACCGGGGTTCTATGACCCCACTCTCTCACCACACGGTGTCTCTGGCGCCTCCACCCGGGGTTCTGTGACCCCACGATCTCACCATATGTCACTTTTTCCCCTAGCGAAAGCCGGAGAACCAACAATGTCATGTATGACCTCTCATAGCCTACGTAACATCAATGCAAAATTATTTCAAGTGCTCCTTGTTAATGAGTTGTTATTAAGATATCTGACCATTGAATATTATAAAACAGATCAGGAGCAATTTTTTGGTACCATGATCTGTTTGTCAAAAGACCATTTCCTATCTATTTTGCAGATAACAAATTTTTGCTTTATTTGCGAATATCTCATTAACTATTAACGGTGCTGTGGGAGCAATTTCAGATTCGGAAGGAGCAAATTGGGAGCAATTGTTTGAAATATAAATCGTTAAGATACGTTACATTCGGCGCCAACTATTTTCCGGTATATCGGTTTTAACTTTCACCTTCCACCCACATCCCACCAATGCCACCAAGCGATGCTTGTCGGAACCAATGTCATACCCACGATCTCCACCCTGCCTGACCCTGCCTGAAAACTAACCTAACACAAGCGAAACTTATTGTGATGTTTTAAATACATTTTCGTGCTAATTTTACGTTTCTAGACCGTGTGAAAGCGTTTCGTCAAATCGACGTGGAAAACTAAGAACATACTGTACTTTTAAGATAAACAGAGTGTTATACGAAAGAACATTTTATTCGCGGTTTGGTTGAATGAAATTACGTCTTAAAACACAAACAATTACTCGCTGGAAAGAATTACGATAAAAAGGGTGGACATAAAGGAGAACAATGTTGAAACGTAAATTTGACGAGTTAGAAGATAGGGGACCAGCAAAAAATTCATTAGACTCGGATGAAGAAGATGATGCCCCTGAAGATAATTATAACGTAATGAACGAGGATGAAATTGAAGGTATGTGAACATTTATCAAATCTTGCGCAGTTCGATTATTTAGTATTTACATTTGATATTTAGGTGTAGAGGATGGGCCAACTGCTCCTGAAACAAACGTGGGTTTCACTGCATTTAATATGAAGGAAGAGTTAGAAGAAGGACACTTTGATAAGGATGGACATTATCTTTGGAACAAGGAGAAAGAAATAAGAGATAATTGGTTAGACAACATTGATTGGATGCAGGTTTGTGAACCATCATGGTAATTAAACTGGTATTTGCGATTAAGGTTTTTCTAGTGAATTTTTCAAGTCATGATAAAAAAACAACTCTAACATTTTGTAAACTATAGACTGCCTTGTATTTTAATAAATGCTTCTTGTGTTTGGACTCCTGCATATTGAAATATCAGAATATGTTTTCATACAGCAGAGAAATAGACTTTTCTATAAGCCTACTTTGTTTACTTAGTGATGCAAACCATTACTAAGGCATAATCTTGATAGATCAAACCAAGTTCCACGGCGGGAGTATTGAAGGAAAGCAAAAGCAGTGAGAAACATGGATTGGCTGATAGTGATAGTGATAGTGATGATGAAGGCCCAGATATTATGTTCAATCCAGTTCATCTCTATAAACAAATATTGGAATACTTACAACCTGGAGAAACAGTGTCCAAGGCATTGTGCAGGCTTGGTAGGTATTTGAATCAATACAGTCTTATATAAAGATATGGATATTTACTATAATCACTACTTATAGGCAAAGGAAAAAAGAGATTAACTACAGCAGAAAGATGGAAGAGGAAAAAAGAAAAGAAGGAAGTAGAGGATGATGAAAATTCTGTGAATATAATGAAATTAACAGAATTGGCAAATGAATTGCTCACTCGAACTGGCAACATGGATATATACCAAGAAAGTTATGATCAAATAAAGAAGAAGGTAATCTATTTCAATAAATATGTAATAATGTTTAGTAGATTGTTTTATTCAGTTTATCAGAATATTAATGCTTGTAGGTTGGAATGTCTGTGAAGCATTCACATCCTTCTAAACAAGAAGCAGAGTTAGATATGTATGCTGATGACTTTGATGAGAAAGAGAAAGCAAAGTTGGATGATAGTGAAAGTAATTACCCTTTTAACATACTTACATAAACTTGTTTAAAAGTAAGATGTAAAATACTCAATACGAACATCTTTCAGGCAGTGTTAAAGGAACAGGAAGCTCTGGAAAGGATGAGGCTGAAGAGGACGAGGTGACTTGGGAATTGAAATGGTCACAAGACGAGAATGCACAAACCCATGGTCCCTATACAAGTCAGCAGATGCACGCGTGGGCGAAAGAGGGATATTTTAAAAGCGGAGCATGGGTGCAGAGAACAGGACAAGCTAATCAGTTTTACAATGCCGGAAGAGTGGATTTTGAACTTTATTTGTGATATCTTTGTCTAGTATAGCCGTCTGTTTAAACAAAATACAAAAGAAAGAAAATAGGTCTGTAATATTTTGAGAATAATGTAAAGCTTGATCTAATACCGTAAAAACTAGTGCTCGGTTCGATATAATAGAAATTCAATGCAATTGAAACGAATGTCCGATTCCATAACGTGTCAAATGTGTACGATACTGTAACAAAATTCAGTGAAGAACCATTCAGGGATTACAATCAAGTAATGAGTTAAAAGTTCTTGTCTTTATTTAAACATGTGTATCATCAGTACTAAACACTGAGTAACAATCCATTCCACGTATGTTCAAAGCATACGAGAGAGAGAGAAGTGTCCATTCTTGATGCATATCGCACGAATAAAACTTTGTAAAACAGGTACACCGACAGTTTTTTTTTTTAACCGTCCTTACAAATTTGGAAGATGTGTACCGTTTTAAGCGTACTTTACTCGTTCCGCCTGCCGTCGTACTAAACGCCATCCGGTGCACCACTTAAATTAGTGGGGCAAAAAAGACCAAACTTACACTTCAGAAACTTCCTGTGCATACGGGATGGGGAATAGGGGATGGGCGGAATTTATAGTTCGAGGCGGCGCGGTATTTTTAAATAGGATTTTATCCCTAAAGTAAATCTATTTGTACTCGGGCATAAAAACCTTGCGAGTCGCCCTTGTTTATTCAGCGGAGTGCGACCCGATGGCCTTTTGCGGCTTTTATATTTTTAAGAAAATAAGGTCTAGACATCGTCGAATGCTCCATATTCACCTTGCTCACTGAGTAAATCATAAACGACTGCTATTTTACAACAGAGTGAGTGGTGTAACCTATTTAAAATCGATATTTCTCGATAACACATTATTTTAAATATCCAACCATCAACAAGAATGATTCGTCTATTAAACGCTAATGCATTAGGTTGAATTATAAATAATAACCATCCGTAAACGAGAAAATGTATTTTTGCAAAACAAAAAAAAAAACAATACGCGAATGCTTGAAATAAGCACACAAAAGGACACGTAAAGACAGAGGAATCGGGATCATTGGCTAAAGAAAATCTATCCACATTGTTAAACACAACACAAAAAGGGGATTCAACATATTCTACCGAACATACTGAATATACAATATAATTTTATTAGATATCTTAAACATTTTTATTAGCAATGTATGAAATTTCTATATGGTTACTTAAAATATTTTGTGTATGTCAGTATATCGTACATACATATGTACCCGTGAGTATGCGTTTATATATGTATATATATATATATATACCTTCTTTTGTTATATATATAAATTGGTAAGTATAAATTCGTAGCTTCTTTACAAAGTTCGGAAATAATTTTGTAGCGTAGTTTCAAGTATAAGACAAGATTTAGTCTTCAGGATTCGAACTTGTAGCAAAAGTGAACTGAATGAGTCGCCTAGCAATTATTCATTTCACTCGATAATATCTAAAGACAAGATCGATCGCGGAAAATACAAACGTACGTCTACTACGGTAATATCAAACACTGCGATTGTTGCGAGTTCGTTTCTAACTTCGACTCGAAATTACTTCCGCTACGTTCGATCTAAGAATGAATTACATCGCGAATCGAAAGAAGGAAAAATACTTTAATCACGATTCTTTCGAAAAATTTGCCAATTCGTTTGATCAGCGGCTCTGCGGAACTTTCAGGGGCAAACAGCAAAATAGAAATCGCGCCGCTTTTAGTTTTACCGGTGGTCACTCGTTTTCGATGGGACAAGATGCAAGAGAAACGGACTGTACAGAACGACACTATGAACACACATGAAACTATATACAGGAAAGACAGACGTAGGTACAGTGCAATTACATTTACGCAGCGATCAACGAAAACCAAGTACAAGTATAGTTGGTCTTTCTTTGTTCTTGATCCACGATGTACAATTAGGGGGATCACAAGAGGAAACGATCAGACGAAGGACGAAGATAAAGGTTAAGAACGGTACAAACAGTGGACGCATTCGTAAAGCCGGTTTCATAAACGCACGTAAATATGCAAGCTATAACAAAGCGCTTTGACAAGATTCACAAAACGGGAAAACAAATTGAACGCTTTCGATATTGTCTTAATTCTAACCTTAACTACCCTACACAGTACTAATTAATGTCGAATACACGAGTACGTGTTCTCAGTTGGCGGATACCTTGGTGTTTGAGAAGGAATTCCTCGATTATTGTGAAAGTTGATCGAAAAATTTTGTAATCGCAAAAATGAATTTATCAGTAACACGGTACTATATGAAAATGTAATTTAATAGATTACAAAGTAAACTCAATCACTGATTAATAAAGTTCGGAAATTATTCAATTATTTCTGGAGCACCATGTGTATTTGTAACAATCATTAACATTGCATTATCATTATGGTGAATGGAAATTTGAATGGTAATTAGTACAAATACGTATTCAAACATTCGAAATGCTATTAAAATACCCGTATACTTTCAAAATATATTTCCAAAAACATTTCTAATTTCCTAAACTCACTGACCTCAACCTTAATCAATTAAATTCAGTCCCTATGTGTTGTAATCAATCTTCGGAACTATTCAATAATTCCCACAACGTCGTATGCATTTGTAAACAATCATACAATGATCTCCCTCAATGATTTATAACGATTTTAGTAGAAAAGAAAAATGTCTAATATATCGAATCAAGAAATCGGTATTCCAATATTTAAATTTACATACTTAACCGTTACATGATCTCCATATCACCGCTACGAAAAATCAGAAATTATATTAACAAAAATTACAATGACACATACATAACAAACACGAAAACCTTAATTCGGTGACCAGAGATAAAAATTCTCGGGGTCAACGAACCACTATATCTGAGAAATTTTTCTCAAACGCAGGCACCGGTCGCACCATCGATACTAATCATTAGGGACATTAGCATCGTTGAAAGGGCGAGTGGGGAAACGTCACTCGAGCGATCGAGCGTCGTCCTCCCTCCAGCCTTTTTAGTGGGGAACATACACGCCACGTCCACGGGATTTTACAAGCGGAATTACATCCGGAAAAGGCTCTCGAAAAATCGTTACGGCGCATTCTCGCATCGTTGTTATGAAACCGGCGGAGATACTATCGTAGACAGAGAGACGGGAAAGCGAACAGTTTTCTTTTTATTATAAAAAAAAAATAGAACAACGAACACACGGACGTTTTGCCGCGCGCACGCGAGGAACGTGATGCGCATTCGGCGTTGCGTATAAGCTTCGCTTTTCTATGTATGTACATACTAAAATAGCCGTCAATGGGAGGGGAAGCGCCGCCTCAAACGCACCGAAATCCCCCAGCGGACACGAAAACCGGAAAAAAAGGATGCACGGAGGAAAAAGGAAACGGACAAGTTGAATGGTAGATGGGTAAACTTGTATTAAATGGATAAAGAACGAGATGTTGAGTCGAATGATATTTTGAGCCTGTCAAAGAAAGGGACTTAAAGCCAGAGATTGGCGAATTCATTATCTAGGATAACGCATAAAGGATTTAAAAAGAGGGAATTTTTTCATTTTTAAGCGATTAAATGTAGAAATTCCGATTGTTATAATAAAGGCCATGATGACGATCTTAGATACTGCGACTTTTCACTATACAGGGTAATTCCCTTAACGCTGCCACCTAAATTACTTGTAAATGGTTTGTTATATGAAAAAATGTTTCAAACAAAAGTTGTATGGTATCAAGGGAGGCAAACAATATAATAATTCGTTTATGTTTGCTATTTTATCGAAATATGAAGGTCACCTTGAGTTTTTTTTATCGTAACGTGAAAAATTTGATCGTGAAATTAGAAAATAAAATTGTGCCCAACTCTGTTCGAAGTTTTGCCTGAATTCTAACCTATCGAATTATCTTCTTTCTCGAACCGATTTTTGAACTCTCGTCCTCTTTACGTGATCTCCCTCTTATTAATCCTCCGCCTCGTTTTTTCGTTCCTCAGAAGGGTCGGATCCATGACTAACAACCATGACTAACGAGTTGGGCGAAGTGCCCACCGAAGAATCTTGGCTAACCGACCGGGAAGGTGGAACGAAACGCTTCCAACTCTAATATTTTGGCCTGTCGGTGGTTGGTCCTGCTTTTTCCCTTTGAACCTTTCTCGTTTTTCGTTTAATTGGTCGTTAATCTATTTCTTTCCGTTGCCGACAGTTTCTCTCCCGCCAAGACCTGTTCTTGTTACTATTTATCCTTGTCCTCTTTATCTCTGACAGTCGACCTGACTATAGAACAATCTGACCTATTTGCAACTTAATACTTCGCGATCTAGGTTACAATCGAAATAAACCATATTGTGTAAACAATCTGTTCGATAGACACTAAATTATCGATTAAAATATTCTTACTCGATGATACTCTCATGGTAGCCATATTGGACGCTTACTCCCATGGAAATTCCGCGGCCCCGGTTCCAACATGGCGAATCTCCATCGCGTGGTCTCCAATCAAATGAATCGTTCGAACATTACTGTGTGAGATCAAGATTTGCTATTTCCAATGAACAGGATCTCAACTGAAGTCTTCGACTAAAGTAAAAAAAAAAAAACAAATCTTTCAACCACTATCATCGAATAAATTTCCAAACGTTAGGTCCCCCATTTTAAGAACACTAAACACTCGACCAACCACATCGTCGAATTTGTAATGTCGCGATAGTTTAGGGGATTTTTATCAATCGTATCAGTGGATCGAGAACACTCGACGGAGAAAATGAAATGGGAAACCGAAAAATTCCAGGATAAAAACGGCCCGCCAGGAGGGATCTATCGTTGCGAGTAAGTTTCCGGAGGAAACATCGTCAGACACCGATTGCCCGTGAAATCCACTGCGGAACTTCCAAAAGTTCCGCCATGATGGACGGCCACAGCCGCGTGCAGTAGTCGCGATGCGACTTCTAGGTCAGTGGTAACGCGAGAGACGTTCGCTGGCGGTGTGTTTTTGTCCTCGACACGCGGCTGTTTCGGGGAGAATGAATTTTTCAGAGCTATCTAGGAGCCTCGACGTGGTTCCTCCACCAGGAGGGGGGGCGACGCGTCAAGTGGATATAACAATGGACACCGTACACGGTCTGGCCGATTTTCGTTGAAATCACGTTCTTACAGGTGGCACAAATATTTCATTCCTTCCCCCTCTCGTTTAGCCGGCGTCAATTTTTTATGGGGTTCGCCACGGGACTGAAAACGGTTACGTAAATTAAGCGAACAGAGGGACACACCGCACGAATTCTGCCTGGAGGGGGAGGGGGAACGGGAACGGCAATGCCACGGTTGTCACGTTGAAACACACACTCACACATGGTTTGTTCCAAAACTCCCCAGGCTGAGAT